GCACTTGGAATGAGCAAGCCTCTGGAACGCCCTTCGCTTTTAAGAGGAGACGTGTAAGCTCAAAGTCAGGATTAGAGAGCGAAACGGAGGTGGGAGCAGCGTGGTGCTTCTGCATGCAGCGACGTGAATGTGGGCTCACTTCTACCCCCTTCTCTGTGAAGCCCCCTGGACAGAAGCACTTTGGCTGGAGGAGCAGCCTGGTGCTGGTTTGTAGCGCAGATGTGTCAGACTGTGCTGCCCTCTAGAGGCAAAACCTTCACTGTACCTGCAAAAATGGCCTTTATTAAGCACCATTATGGGACTCACTAGTGTCTGGTTACTTGGGGAAAATTCCCGCTGATTTTACGATGAAATAGGCCAAGTAAAGGACTATGGGATTGGGTCGTGTGTTTAAAAAATTGCACGCTCTATTCTCCTTCAAGGGCCTATAATGGGGCATCAAGTAGAGGCAGCATAGTCTACATCAGCGTTTCTCAACCTGTGGGTCGCAAGAACATATGAAAGGTCACAAACAAACTTTAAAATGGATTTTCCTTCAAAGGTGAAAAATGTAAAATGTAGGAAACCTAGGCTTTTCCCTCGCAGGCTGGCAGACACCCCACCCTGGCCTTACGCCCACCCCTGGCCCCCCACACTGCAGGGCCTGAAGCCTGGGGGCAGGGGGCAGTGTGTCGGGAGTGAAGGACACTGGGTCAGGACTAATCATCAATGTTTACAAATGGGTCCAGATGCAAAAAAGGTTGAGAACCATTGGTCTATGGCAGTGGTTCTCAACCTTTTTGGTACCAGGACCTGTTTCGGAGATTTCATAGCATTAGGGCTGGAAGGGACCTTGCAAGAACATCAGGTCCAGCCCCCTTGCCTAAAGGCAGGAAGTCAGCTGGGGTCAGAGCCAGCCAGGTGTTTCTTGAACGTGTCCAGAGTAAGTGCTTGCATCGCGTCTGGGGGGAGTCTATTCCAGACTCTGGAGACTCGGATGGTAAAGACGTTTTTCCTTATGTCTAATTTAAAACCATCTTCCAGCAGTTTGTGACCCTTGGACCTTGTCTTCCCTTGGGGGTGCCCTGGTGAACAGATGTTCTCCCAGGTCCTGATGCACACCCCGATGTACTTATAGGCTGTCACCAAGTGCCCCCTGAGCCTGCACTTCTCCAGGCTGAAGAGCCCCATGCCTCTCAGCCTTTCTGCATAAGGCCTGTTCTCCTGACCTCTAATCATGTGCATGGCTGTCCTCTGGACTCTTTGTAAACATTGATGGCCAGTCCTGACCTAGTAAATAGTTTAAGTACAAAATAGCCCTTGACCCTGCCAGTGCCCCTCGCTCCTGACCCACTGCCCCCAGGCCCCCAGTATGTGGTGCAGGGGGTGGGTGTGTGGGGCACAGGGGCCCCAAACAGCCCCTTGCAGGCTGGAGCTCTGCCAGCCTGCAAGGGAAAAGCCACTGTTTCCCACATTTTTCTCCTTTAAAAGAGAATCCATTTTTAAAGTTTGTTGATCCAGTTTTAAAGTTTGTTCGCAACCCTTTCATGTATTTTTGTGACCCACTTTCGGATCGCAACCCACGGGTTGAGAACTGCTGGTGTACAGCACAGTGAGCTAGCTACAGTGAGATTCAGGAGAGGGAAGGTCTGACTCTGGCTCTACCAAATAGCTGCTTTGCACCTTTTTTTTGGTGTTGTTGCAAAAGTCCCTTGTCTTCTCTGGGTTGCTTTCTGCCTCAACTGTAAGCTCTTCAGGGCAAGGACAGTCTGTTGCTGTTTGTAGAAGAGCTGGGCTAGCAGGGCCCAGATCTCAGTCAAGGCCTCACAGCACTTTCCACTAGTAACAACTCAGTAAAGGAGTGTTGCTGGAGCTGCACAGCTGACCGCTGAAAAGTGATAAAATGCCAACGTTGAGGTTATCCCTGTACCCTGAATTTGCCCCCACCCTTACTCATCTGTGATACAGACTTTAATGGGATCACATGCTATCTTTTTCCATGGGACTAGCACAGAACCTTGTGTCCTTGCCTACTCCCACCTTTTCCCTTCTGCTCCTATCTCCCCTCCTACATCTTGTCCTTGTTCCGTCCCAATTCATAGCCACTGTTCCTTGCCTGGTAAATGGCCTTTATCCCCTTACACCTATCCTGGTTCTTATCCTCCCCACCTCCATGTTAAAACTGTGCAACGCCCTTGGACTCAAAGGAGCTGTGCTGACTCGTATTGGATGAACATCCTGAGACTTCCTCTGCTAATGTCGTTTTTCCATTTCTTACTGGCTGGGAATCTTCATCCCTTGTCCTGACACAAGGACATGAAAGCTTACGCCCGGTGGAAGGGGGGTGAAATCTCCAAAGAGGAGTATACCTCCTCTGCTCGGGCCTGTAGGCGAGCTGTTAGGAAGGCCAAGGCAGACATAGAGCTCGGATTAGCGTCCAAGATTAAGGATAACAAAAAGTCCTTTTTCAAATATATTGGGAGGATGAAGAAGGTGCCGGGTAATGTGGGACCCCTGCAGGATACGCTGGGCAATTTGGTGGTTGCGTCAGAGGAGAAAGCGGACCTCTTTAACCAATTCTTCACCTCCGTTTTCTTGTGCAGGGACCGGGACTTCCCTGCTGTGATAGAAGCCGGACTCGAGGGGATCGCCTTCAGACCTCAGGTTGGGGAGGACCGGGTTAGAGAGCTTCTGGAGGGGCTGGACGCGTTCAAGTCAGCGGGTCCGGATGATCTCCACCCCAGGGTGTTGAGGGAGCTAGCTGGGGTTATTGCAGGGCCCCTGGCACGGCTCTATGAGCGATTGTGGTGCTTGGGCCAGGTGCCAGATGATTGGAAGGTAGCAAATGTGGTCCCCATCTTCAAGAAGGGGAAGAGGGAGGACCCGGGCAACTATAGGCCCGTCAGTCTTACCTCAATCCTGGGGAAACTCTTTGAGAAGATCATCAAGGAGCACATTTGTGATGGGCCGGCATCAGAAATGATGCTCAGGGGCAATCAGCATGGATTTATTAGGGGGAGATCATGTCAGACCAACCTGATTGCCTTCTACGATCAGGTCACAAAGGCCATGGATGCAGGTGTCGCGGTGGATGTAGTCTTTCTGGACTTCAGCAAGGCCTTTGACACCGTCTCTCACCCCATCCTAGTTAAAAAACTAGGTGACTGTGGCATCGATGCCTACACAGTCAGATGGATTGCAGATTGGCTGAGGGGTCGCACTCAGAGGGTGGTGGTGGATGGGTCATATTCGACCTGGGGGGAGGTGGGTAGTGGAGTCCCCCAGGGCTCGGTCCTGGGGCCTGCGCTGTTCAATTTCTTCATCAGCGATCTGGATGATGGGGTGGAAAGTAACCTGTTTAAATTCGCTGATGACACCAAAATTTGGGGGGAGGTGAGCACGCTAGCAGGGAGGGAGAGATTGCAGAGGGATCTGGATAGGTTACAGGGGTGGGCTAACAGGAACAGGATGCGTTTTAATACGGACAAGTGCAGGGTGCTGCACTTGGGCAGTAGGAACCAGCAGCACACTTACACAATGGGGAACTCCCTACTTGAGAGCACGGAGGCAGAAAGAGATCTTGGAGTCATTATTGACTCCAAGATGAACATGGGCCGACAATGCGAGGTCATGGTTGGCAGGGCTAACCGGACCTTGTCGTGCATCCACAGGTGCATCTCGAGTAGAGCCAAGGAGGTGATCCTCCCCCTCTACGCGACGCTGGTCAGGCCACAGCTGGAGTATTGTGTCCAGTTCTGTGCGCCCCATTTCAAGAGGGATGTGGACAACATGGAGAGGGTCCAGAGGAGGGCCACCCGCATGATCCGGGGACAACAGGGCAGACCCTACAGTGAGAGACTGCGGGACCTGAACCTATTCAGCCTCCACAAGAGAAGGCTGAGGGGGGACCTGGTGACCGTCTATAAACTCACTAGGGGGGACCAGAAGGGTTTGGGGGAGACGCTGTTTCCCCTAGCGCCCGCTGGCATAACAAGGAGTAATGGGCACAAGTTGATGGAGAGGAGGTATAGATTGGACATCCGCAAAAACTACTTCACAGTTAGGGCGGCTAGGAGCTGGAACCAACTTCCAAGGGAAGTGGTGCTGGCCCCTACCCTGGGGGTCTTTAAGAAGAGGCTGGATGCCTACCTGGCTGGACTCATTTGAGTCCCGTTTCTTGTTTTGGGGTTTTGTTGTTCTCCCGCCCTGGCGGGGGGTCGGGCTAGAAGATCTACTAGGTCCCTTCCGACCCTAAATCTATGAAACTATGAAACTGAGCTACTGAGCAGGGTACAGTCAGGAGGACGGATTATGCCAATCGGGTGTCGTTGGGCTCTTGGATGCATAGGCATGCTGTCAGGTCTTTGTACAGAGCAGTTTGTTCCTAAAGAAGCTGTGATTACAGCAACCAGTAGTAACCAGTCTTCCTCTAAATCCTGCCAGCCCCCTCCCTGTGGTTGCCCTTGTTCCTGTAAGCACTCCGGTGGGAGTCCTTGCTTCTGCAAAACAACCTTAAAACACTGAGAACATCTTGCCAGTGGCTCCCTAAATTCTTATGGGATTATATTTGACTACACTGTTCTAGTTGCACCCTAACATGCCTGCCGTGGCCAATTTGAGCTGCTGTATTCAGCCGTAAGCCCTCACTGCCCTTTCCACAGCCGATGACAGGATGTTCTCAAAACGTGGCACCGGGAGAGACAGCATTATCCCAGAACGCACAACAGAGAAGAGAAGACAAAGACTGCGTGTATGGGATTAGAATACGCCCCCCCCCCCCCCC